TATGAATCATTACTCTACAAGTTAATTCATTTGGGAATCGAATATCCGTTTCTTCTGGAACGTTTTTATGTGTCGCGTCTGGATGAAAGACATCAATCAACTTTCTTTTTGCAGTTACCCAGATCCAATATCCATTTTCAACCTTCAACATCGCACTGTGATTTATATCAAGATGGTCTCCAGGCGATACTTAGGTAACATCGATTGGTGTCGAGTTGTCCGTACTGACATTTTCTTTCTTCTTTATGGGTCATGTTACCTGTTCGAAATGATATGATGTGAGACGAGACAGAGAGAAAATCGCAATTTTCAACATGTCACAACATGTGTTTGCTTTGATATCCTATTGTGCTTGAAACCGTGATCATTTTATTGAAGAAATAAAGTGTAGAAAAAGCAAGTTCAATATTGACCAGTATTGAAAATAACGGCATATATTTTTCTTCTACTCTAGTATATTGCAAATTTTCAAGTGCTATAATAACTGGACAAATGTTAGACAAAATAAGTGTTTAATTTACTTTTTCAAGCACCATTATAAAAAATCTTATTAAGCCTTGTGTTTACGAAAACGCAACTGAACGTGGCAATGGACGCCAATGAACAGTATTATCTCCAAACCCGTTTAAAACTAAACTCATATTCGGACAACAAAAATCGTGTTGTTATCCATACCCGAATTTTAATTAAATTATGGTAATTACCAGTGAAAAGCACCTGTCGAAACATGATAAACGACGGAAAATTGCGCAACCACGGTCGGTAACTATTTTGTGTTAATTAAGCGAGCTTTCTGTATTAAAAAAGCCGCTTCGCCACTCTTAATAAAGTTTTCGGATAGTAAAAACGGTATCAAATTATATACAATTTTATACTTATGCACAAGCTGTCATTTAAAAGCCAGCTACGTTAAACATTATCGATGATTTCTGGTACTTTCGTATTGGGAGCGATCGGATGTTTTCGGTCGATATTTCGTGACTAAAGCCTAGTTTATATGATCGCAAAATATTCTATTTCGGCCGTAACGCAAAGAGAGCCGGTTATTTAGTGTACTACTAACGTGTTCTGGCCCGTGTTCTGCATAAACGTATTCTTGTTCTTGAGGTATCTGAACACTGATAACTTTAGATTTTTGATTAGAATTGTTTATATAATATACAAATCAAGTAGCAATACTAGCAAAATTTTGACGTTAAGTTTTAGCTACTTTACGATCAGCGTAATAAACGGAAGTTCAGATTAAGGTTGCTGGTTTTCAATTTATTCCCAACCATCTAGAATAGATGACCGGGTAACTATATCGAAAAATAGGATAACAAGTGTTGTCTAGGCGCAACAAAAGTAAACATTTACACGTTCATCGGCTTTCGGAAATATTTGCCGCGACATCAGATTAAGGGCATAAAGCAATGTTCGTTTTACTGTAGGAAATGCAGCATGCACCCATTTAAAGTCGACGCACACATTTTCAAGATAAGTTGAGTAAAATTCTTTAGATAAGATAACGCGAATGTAGCCGCATTGTCTTCGCCGGGTATCAGTGTTTTATTGTTATTTCTGTCGTTTGTTTCTTACTTACCAAGTAAATTTAAAGTAAATTAAGTTTAGCAGATGAACTCGGTTTTTAACCATGGTCGTGTCCAGTTGGACGTTATAAAAAACGTCGGCCATAATTACACGTGGATGTGGTATTTTTGAATATGCAATAAAATTTTACCATTTGATAATTAAAAAAAAACCTCTATTATTCCCTATATGTATTGAACGTATGAAACGTATTGAAATTAAAAAAAGAATTTTTTTTTGTGATTTTCAAACCACTTTAGGTAGTTCATTGACATACACTGATTTCAAGCACTTAAGATATACCAGTGACATTCGTATGGAATGCAATGTATTGAATATTTTTTTAAAAATTGTGAGCTATTCCTATAATGATAACTATTTTCGAAATCCGCAGTCAATTCGGAAAAAAAATTATGTCTTGCTTTTTTTCCGGAGGTAAAAAATAACAAAAAATATTTCAAAAATATGTTGTAGAATGTGCTGTACAAATTGGGCTCTCTAATTTCGGAACACCCTGTTTGGATCTTTTCTTGGTTGGTGTATTTTTAACGACATAGGCAAGCTATCAAAATGATGGAAAAAATTAGAGCCTGCAATGACATTTTCTTCAATATTTTAGATTTTTGGAACCGGATAAACTGTATTACATCATTAAGAATGCAAAACTAATCAAAACCAGAACGAACAATTTAATATGGCCTCCATTCAGAAAAATTTTATCAAAACCTTAGAAGGGATTTTTGATTTCGATAGAAGAAGAAGCCCAAAATATTTCAATGAAAATATTTTTGTAATTTTTTTCTAAATAATAACGAGTTTTAACACATTTCAAAATATTTGTTATACCTACAATATCCTCAACCTATCAGATACCTGGAATAACGAATAATAAAGTTCGCATATTCGCTGAATCACTAAAGTGAGTGGAATCACTACTAACCAAAATTTTAATGAATTAGTTGAAACGACACAATCGGAAATATAATATTTGCTTTTTAAGTACTTCAAATAAAAGGTCATTTAAAATCTGTCAATCACATGTCTGTTATCCATTTTTTGTATATACCGAGAGTTATTGAAATGATATAATATATAATATATATTATATATATTGGTAATATATATAGTAATGGTTAAGAATAAATATATCCGTACCTTTCACCGAAACTCAAATCATATTCCCGTTGAGATCATGTAAGTCCTGACTGATAGGAACGCACAGAAGCAATTTTTCCCGGCATAGGATCTGTGGAACGGAAATTAAAATGCACTCGTTTTAAATATAACTTTATGCTCGACTATTTCATTCTCACATTACATTGTGTGATATTTCAAAATTATATTCAACGGAATGTTTAATATTCGGACTAGCCTGGTTCTGCTCTATATTTAGCTGCTTTGGTTTAGTTGGGACTCCTCCCTTGCCTTACTCTGTATCTAGATGATTTCGTTGCACCCTTTGGTCAAAGGAATTTCCACTTCTTTGGAAAAGCGGAAAAGGTGCTTGTCTTACAATTGGGTTCAGATTCACCTTTTTTATTTTAAAATTGAGGTTGCGAAAACTGTATATTATTTTGTTCCATAACATGTAATTATTGTTGATTAGTTTTGGAATTATTAAAATTTAAACGTTATTATTAGAGACTAGCGTTGTATATTTTACCGATGATACTAATGAAGAAACTTGGCAAAAAGTTAAGGACACAGCTAAAGCTAAAAAACTTTGGTTTGTTTATTTTTCAATGAAACTTCCACAGGCCACTGTAATGCTTTTTACAAAACTTCTGGAGTTTCAGTCAAGCTCTGAAGAAGCCAACAGGATGATTGGCCAAACGTCAGCAATTTCGACTAAGCAAAAACCGACGCAGGAGGAATCCAGAAGTTTTGTAACAAGCAAACCTTGGTTTGGTAAAAACTAGTTAACTCTAAATACTTGTAAGTCAAGTTTTCTTTGGTTCCTCAACAAAAAGAGTAAATTTTTTCCATACCTAATTTTAATTGCTATAACCTAAGTATCGGTGATAGATTTTCTAAAAGGCAATGTTTCAAAATAAAACTGATAAATATTACTGTGTAGGATGCAGCTGATAACTGCTGTCCCCGCTGGTCTTTACAAAGAAATATTTTTAAAGGTTATTCTAAATAAAAACAGAATGCATCCTTCACTCAGTTTATTTAGGGAACCAACGATTACGTAACTGAATCAAATATATGTTAGGGCAGTTGTTCGGTTCATTTATAAGAACGAGTGCTACATTTAGCCAATTGTTCATGGCAGAAATTGCAGACGCCTTATATTTACAGTACCTAAGATTTTGAATACGTTCAAATAACGACTTTAAAGTTTCACTTCTGATAGATGCCTAGGACTTTTTTTTATGTATTATAATGTAATATATAAATAGATATTGGGTTGAGAAATGTTTGAATCAATGCATGTCCATTACGTTATCTTGTTTCATAAATAAATAAATATATCAGAGTTTATTTTAATGTTAATATCAAAGTGGATGAAATTTAGGCAACGAATTTTTTGAACTGAACACTTCCAGATATGTTACCTCGAAGACGGTTCATCAAGGAGAAAACGGAAACACAAGCATCTCGGTAGATTTATTAACAGCAAAACGATTATGACATAATTTTCTTCGTTCGTTCGCCATTTACTTTCAATCTGTTCGGTGCTTTTTTTTTCCTCCGCAAATTACAGTTACCGATACGAGGAAGAACGATTGTTCGTTCGGGCAAGACACATCGAAATCGTTTCCCTTGCGGTGAAGCTGCACGAGGAAGCGATCGAATGTTGACGAAAAACATGTCCGCGGACGTGAAACACGGAGCAAATCAAACAATAATCCATTTCTTTAACGGTTTGCTAGTTAGCTGGAGAGCAATTTTCTCGGAATGCGAGCGGAAAAATAAAACCGACCGAGAGTTTGTTTACACTTACCCAGAGTATCCCCCCGAAGCGCATTGATACCGTTTCTTTTTTTTATTGCGAACAGGTGATCGGTTTAAACACGCTTTAAAAAATGGTTCCCCTCCAAAAGAAAATGACCAATCATCCTGATAAAAAATGAACCACAAATAATAAGTTTTTATATTCTTAGCTCTAACATACGTACGAAATGTGAAACACTCAAATATTTTCAATACGACGCCTTTTTATAATATCAGTCACAATTTAAAATATCTATTCTATCCATTCCAAAACACTCAGTTCTACGAAAAGCACCACTTTAAGGAAAAATAAATAAGAACTAAAAGTTCAGATTTTCACGAAAGGCCCTTTTTGCAAAATGGGAACCATTGAGAATAACACCTTGCTCAACTTATTCAGTCACTGGTGACTAAAATGGCGTTTATGAAACTTAGTATTTAACCAGCGTACATTGAGATATATTTTAACAGATGGTTTCATTAATTTTCAGGCCGAGAGATTAGCCGATTATGGTAGGCTTCTAGGGGGATCCCAGCCGGCACTTGACGGACGAAGGCGAGATTTGGATAGAATTCAAGATCTATTTCCCCACGATTACTTAGGGCTCCACATACCTGAACCCAGTTCGACTTACCACATCGTAAGTCAACATTTTCTCATAATTCCAAAACCTAGGCTCTAAACTATTTTACATGACAACAAAAAAACACAGAAAAATGTCAGTGCTATAGAAAAAAATAATTAAAGAGTTTAGATAAATATTCTACCATATGTTCAAAAGTTAGATTAATGTCCCGATATGTGTTTTTACCAATAGTTGTTTTAAAAAGGGTTATTCGAATCAGTAATTTGAAATATTTTTTAGTTCGTACACTCTCTCAAGCTGCTTCATGATTTGGATTTGTAGGTATGTCGACTTGCTGGACCAATTCTTGTTTGAAGGTTTTAGAGCTTTGAAAAATAATTGTTTGGAATTCCATTGCCTTTATTTGAATTAATCTCGACGTTTCGGTCGGTGTATATCTTCAATCGTGCTAATGAGAATAATGACAAATCCTGTGCGCAACAGGTGTCACGGCTGATCGCTGATGTGTGAAGTATTGCTGTATGGTAGAGCAAGTTGAAAAATCTTAGCTTATTTAAAGACTGGAAAGAGAAGTTGTATTCTTTACTTCGCCTTTACAATAACCTTCTGACCAAAATATTTGCCAAAGCTTCTCCAATTAATATCGGTGTTAAATGTAATTGGGCTCTGCAAGACTGGACGTAGTTTACAGGTATTGACTGTATCGACTTTTGGGATCAAATAGGTAGAGAAATATTTTTGACGTTTCAAGCACAAATCGAAGCAAACTCAAGGTTTGCTCTTATACCCGTACACATTTGCTTTTTTGAATAACCATGGGTATTTATTTCAATATTTTCTTGCAATGACATTACTGTTCCCTCTTTTCTACATCCCGTGTGTAACTACTGTAACTTATGAACTTATCTCCATTCATTTTCACCCAAAGCTTTTATTGTAAATTTTTCATTCTGACAAAAGTATTTTGTTAGAATTGTATTTTTTTAAAATAATGTGGAACGTGGTACATTGCAGGTTCAAAAAAATTCAGAAACTCGAAATCTTTTTTCCGTCTTAAAAATCTATTAACAAATCGCCACCCTTACGATTTGGACCACCTTACAAAGATTAATCAATGGCTCAGTAGGCTAGTGCACAATCTTCATTCGCACATAACAGAATAACGTGAATGCAAATTGGGTAATTACCGAACAGATGTCAAATAAATTAACGAGATATTTCATCAACGCGACCCGGTCCCTTAACGGGGTGCGGACGAAAGACTATAAGGAAGTGTCCATTTGCATATGAATGCGCGTGTTAAACTGAAACTTATGACTTTTCTACACCGATACGTACCCACTCCAACGGTAAAAAGGTTATGTGGTGAGAAGGTGGAATAGCAATGAATGTAAGCCACGAAAAAGGTTAATACGACAATTATGTGAAAATTTCCATCTATTAACTAATAATTTCTTCCTTTAATGTGTTATTATAATATTTTGTTTAAAAATCTGTAATTTTTTATAGTCTGTTTCCTACAAATTAAAACAAAGCGATCCAAGTTGAAGAACCTAGAGCTTATTGGGGTATAAATCTTTTTCATCCATATAGCCCACCTCCATTTTACCAAAAGTTGAGGGTTGCGAGTACTGTGATTATATATGTTCACTAAATCTATATAATGTAAGCTATATAGACATCTTCTAAATGAAAACTAAACAAATGAACATTGGGAAGTAGGAAAAAAATGTAGTGTATAGATGCAAAAATTCGAATAAAAATTGGCGGTGTTCTTGTTCCCTATGTTCGTTTCCCAGGAAATCCTAGCAGTTTAGGGCACACCCTGCAATTACTTCACATACATACACTTTTTGATATAACTTATAATAATTATTAACAGTAGATATAATTAGCGAGATTACTATCCATCAAATTAATATTAAATGACATTGCGTAGCCTAACAAGCAAAGGATAATCCTAACGTATATATATTCACATGTTTTACATTTTTAATTAAACGAAAATAGCACGAATATTTTCAGCCTCTTGCGCGATGCCGCTTTTCATAGAACCATGTTAACACTGAAGGGATCATCAAGGTTCCGTTAAAAACTATAAAATCAAACTCGCTCCGTCCGGACGATAAATAAATCAACTAATCGCCTCTATTAATCTCTAAACAACTGACAAACGCCCGTGGAATGTCTTCACATTACGACATTATGCAAATGATACTCAGCAAAGCAAACTAACATATTTATGTCTGCTAAGTCACTCATTCGCTCGTTCGATAATAATTTAATCTTGGCCCTCGAAAAATATAACAAACTCGATACCTACTCGTTAACCAATACCTAATTGCACAGAAATTGGAAGAACTTCAAGCGTTTAAATAAGGTATCGGAACTATTTTTATCGTATCGATCAAGATATTATATAATTATAATTTAAAACTTCATTTTATAGCAGAATTACGGGGATACAAATCTTTATCCAGTGCGACGAACTGTTTATTATTTAAATTGCGACGGGCGCCGGTACAAACGAAAACTATTCGAAAAACCGTTAAAATGTATAGCTCGTATCATTTTCATTACACTTTCCGAGATTTATTGGACCACAAACAAGTTCTTAATTATATCGCTTGACCCGTTTCTATAAATTCAATAAAAAAAAAAAACTTTCGAAACGCGTATAAAAACGTCGCTGTTATTAAATCATCCTGTCTAGCGTTTATCTTTTTAACTAGTTTTTTTACGTAATTTGTAAGCTGGTAAGGATACCATATTACACGCATTCTGTTTCTACGTTGAAATTAATTGTGTCATTTAATGTTACTAGACTATTTAGAGTAACTAGATGTTAATATTGCACCAATGTGTTAGATACTTATGGAGTTGGACTATTTAGGGTAGATGTGAATGTCGCGCTGTTTCATTAGGAATATACATTTTATGGTGTTACCCTAACCTAGATTTTATTAGATTATAGGTCGATTATTAGCATGTTATTGGTTTCTAAATTAACTTTACCATCTAACAGTATAACATATAAGAAATAATAATCCCAATATGGAAAATCCCTGGGATCCAGAAATTATTACCATGGATTAATTAATAGCCAAAAAAACACAGAGCAAAAACAATTCTTTTAATCCTAATTTACAAACAATTAAAACTACGGCGAGAAAAAAGGCATTCAATTATCGAACCCCAGAAGTACAAAGGGACGTATTTAAAGACGATGATTCTAAAAAAGCGACAATCACTTCTTCTAAAAAATCAACCTAATTGCGGTCCACCAGCGAAGCTGCAGCAGACGAAATATAGAAATGCTCAATTTGTGATACAAATTACGTAGCTGATATGCGATCCTGTGTATCGTGTGTATCGTTGAACTTTTAACCTGCCATGTTGCTTTTTTTTGTTCTCGTTTTTATACTTCAGTTGATATTTTTAAGTTTTTGTTCCTTAATATTTTTAAAGAATATTCATTTATTTACCTTTTTTATGTACCAAATGATAAATATGTGTATTTGATATGAAACAAAAAATAAATAATGTTAACTCAGCCTAATTACCTGACAGAACCTTTTGTTATAGTTAAGACATCACTATCGCATAATAATTTATTATAAAATACATGTTATTATTAAATAATGATAGATAACATTCTACAATGGCACGATGTTATTTAACACATTTTGATCGAATTTGACTAGTCAATTAAAAAGTAGTCAATTGACGGCCACTAGGTAGGACTACCATAAAAAAAAATTATATTGTGCATTTTAATGTCCGAAAAGATTGCTAACTTATTGTTGCACTTATGTTAAGTTAAATTACAAATTATTGTAAATTTTCTGAGTGTTTTCTAAAATCTTTTGTTTTTATTATAAGGCAAATACAGTGAAATATATTGTGAAAATGGTGGTGGAAATACTTAGAGTAGGGAACCACATCAGCTGGCTTCTTCAGTGCTTAAGTCAGTAAGATGAGTGAGTGTACCCGTCTCTGTTGAGCAAAGCATAATTGTAATGTTGCTTATCTGTGAAAACGTGAAAATATCCGAAATTTACCTAAGACTGCTTTTCCAGTTCGGAGAACCTACCCTTTCATGATCAAGAGTGAAGATTTGATAGAAACATTTGAGGCAAGGCTGTGAAGGAGTTGCGAATCACACCAAAGTGACTTCGCAGTTCTTCTAACCAAAACTAACCAAAACTATGGAAGTGAAAAATCGATTAGAAAACAACCAGATTTCAGAAAAATCTCAGTACACTGAGATCCAAAGTTGGCAAATGGTGATCAAAAAGCCGCTCGGATTTACCTTTCTAATTTGCTCGTTTTGACGACGAAGAGGAATATTTTTTGCATAAAATTTTCACCTGTGACGAGTCATAGATGCATCATTACACTCACGAATCAAAGCGTGCAAGTATGGAATGGAAAAAGAAAAGCGAAGAAAACCCCGTGAAAGCCAAAACTCGATTGTCTTTTGGGAAAGTGTTGGCCACGGTTTTTTTGAATTGGAGGGGTCCTACTGCTAGATTTCTTACACGGACGTCACAGACTATTAATAGAATTTACTAATCCGGTCTCTTGGATTCAGTCCCATCCGCGAGATGTAGCGCCTCCACAACTACTCCATGCCCCACAGCACATGCCACACAGCAGCAGAAACTGCCGGAAATGAACTGGAAAGCACTTGAATAACACTTATGATTTTAACATGGCGTTGAGTCTAGCCTGTAATAAGCGCTTCAAGTAAAGAGATATTCGTGTGCAGTCGGTTAGACGCCCGTCCACGGGGCCGCTACGAGAACAAAATGAAAAAATTTCCAAAACGTTTTAAAAAATGTATAATAAAAAAAGTGAATTATATAGAAAAATAATTTGTAAAAATGTAGCTATTTTTTATAAAATAAATTTTGTTTATACAAAAGGTTAGTTTATATTTGACACTGAGTGGTTAAAAACGCCATTTTGAGGTTGCTCTTGGGTGTACTCAAGGAAGATTTAATTAACAGTAATATAGAATTATATATAGTATTTATAAATGAACAATGAATGATACGAATGAACAACCCCTTAAAAAAAGTTCATGAAACCAACATGGTGTTTAGCAATCGATTTTTGTGCTATCAATACTACACGTAATAACACAAATTTTGGACTATTGGTAAGAGATTTTATTACGTTTATTTCAGAAGAACAAGTCGTTTCGCAAAAAGTCCCTAGGTGACCTGACCGTGATGGAAAACAACAATGGACCCTGCAGCAGAATATTCCTAATGGAAGCACCTTGTGCCATGTCGCCTTCCCAAATGCCCGTGAATGCCAAAGCTAGGCATTTATTCCTGTTTTCCGACCTGCTGTTGGTCGCGAAACCACGATCAGCAGGCAATTTTAAGCTGAAGGAAAGCGTTAGGGTTTCGGAACTCTGGGTGGCACCTTACTCCGATTCCGAAACGGGGTTTCTTCTGGGATGGCCCTCCCCGGCACGTACTTATCTTGTTAGCTTTTCGACGCAAGCGGCGCGAGACTCGTGGTGGAGGGAACTGAATCAGGCGTTAGCTACCCAATTGCGATTCGAACCTCCAACTACTAATATTAAAGTAATATTTTTAGAAAAGTTGTTCGCTTGCAATTAGTCAATGATTGATGTTGCTTTAGGTTGTTTACCGAGATCCCCTAAGTGGAACGGACTGCTCGAAAACATTGGGAGTAGGCCCGGAAACATCTTCTAGTGATGTCGCCAGATTAGCTCTAGACGAGTCTAGAATGTGCGATACCGCTTACACCCTTTACGCCCGCGACAGAGATAACGCCCCCTGTCCCCTTATAGGTTGCGAGAGACCGCATTCCATTCAATTGGCGCGATTGCGACAGTCTCTTTGCGCTGAAGAGGGCTTCGATTTGACCCACTGCAACAACAGTCGGATACCTAGCGACGTGGTGTTCGAATTGAAACCTACCGTAAAACCGAGCCCGAGAAAGTATGTTTTCAAGCTCAGAGTGTATATAAAGTGTATGTAAACGGTAATTTCAGAACACCATTAAAACTCTTCCGAAAGTCTAGCTGCAGGGTGTTTGGAGTACCATTGTCCAGGTTATGCGCGAACAATACACTACCTCCCGTAATAATAGCATGCTTGAGGGCCTTGTTCCAGAGAGGCCCCCATACGCAGGGTATCTTTCGAAGATGCGCCTCCGCAAGAGCTTTACGAGAGTTGAGGGAAAAAATTGATTCTCATGGTAAATAATCCTCAATATTGCGGGTTACTTTATGGGACAATAATCGTTTGGTTCCAGGTGCTGTAGTTACTGAAGAAATCGCGAACGCTCCCGCTCTCCTCTTAGGTGCACTGCTCAAAGATTTTTTGAGGAGTTTACCGGAACCCCTCTTGTGCGGAAGCGCCCAGGACTGGCTGAGTGCTGCTACAAGCGGCAGGTTAGACCTGCTAAGAAGACTACTCGGCAATCTTCCCAGAGAAAACCACATGCTTCTGCGTTATGTGATCTGCGTGTTATACAATATAGCGAAAAGGGCGAGGTTCAACTTAATGTCGGCGGCTAATTTGGGTGCGTGTACAGCTTATTTTTATTTCACTAATTTCATTCTTTGTGAACGGTAAAAAACTAATACCTATTTTTTTCCGTGTCAGGTGTTTGTGTGGGACCGAGTATGTTGTGGGAACCATGTCAAAATGCTCCCCTGCGTACGCTACCAACTTTAATCGAGACTTTGATCAACAACTGCCAGGCACTGTTCGGATCGCAAGTGGTCTCGCTGTTAGGCGAAGCTGCCAACGATAGTGGGGCTGAGGAATCTGACAGCTTAAATTGTAAGTAGCCCCTACTAACCCTCCCCTTGACGCAGAGTTAATTTATTTTGTATGAATAATTGTCCGAAAAATAGAGATTCAGTTAAATTATTCAGGAAATTGGAAGCTAGAATTTGAATACCTCATAAAATCGCTTCTCTGACAGGATGCGTTTTTTGCATTTTGTAAATTTATTATATATTTAATATATAATAATATATATATATAATAAAAAAAGTACCATATTTTTACTGTAATTTAGTTCATTGCTGTTCAAAATGTGAATTGGAGTTTTCTTTTCTCCACGAGATGGTAGGAGCTTTTTTACACATTTTTATATATTTATTATTGCAAACAAGATAAATAATAATATTTTGATATTCCTAACAGTGTTGTTATGCAAATAATGTTAATTTTCAAGTAAAATGTATTTTTTTTAAATCTTATTAACAGATATTCTAAAGAAAGTAGATATGAGACAAATCTGTAAAAACAAGCCGTATATTTGATGATGGGCACACATTGTTTTTCCATCGTGCTCTTGCCGACCACTATGGAACTTTCGCAAAATCTATGTAATCTTTCACGTCTCGCCGAACTTCAAAGTTACGGCAAACTTTGGTAACTATAAAAAATGCTGGCAGTAGTAGGGATTTCCACTGATATTTTTTGAAATATCTCTCGGACGAAAACCGTTAGTAGAAAATTGTAGCTCTCGACACAGTTTACCATACTGTTTAAACCAAATTATCTCATCTTTTGTCGTTTTTTATTTACGAATATTAATTTATCCACAGAAAACGGAAATTTTCAGGATCTTTTGGAAGTTTGGTCGCAAAACAACACACCCTGTATATAATTTTAAAAAATGTTCGAAGTAGAGGATATAGCTCTGGATCTCCCACGTTCCCTGGTCCAATGGTTTGAACACCTTGTACAATAGGTAAAAACCTGAAATACAAAAATTTTAGCTGTCCATATGGTTTATACGACCATACGGTCCATACGACAATGTAAAAAAAAACTGAAAAATGAAACACAACTTCCTAGTTATCGTCAATTATTATTGTAAGGGAAACTGTATTTTTTAAAAATACTTCCCGACTCCAAAGCCTCCGCAGTTTCAATAGGCTTTGTTAGAGGATAAAACATTATTTACCTCTTAAATTTCAATTGGATGGTTTAAAATTTCGGACACTTATTGTGTTTCATAGCAACGTCCAAAAAACAGTCGAAAATCGAAGAACAAAGATGGACGCCGGTGTCAGATCCGGGTTATTTCAATTTGCTTATATCTCTTGGATTGATTAAAAGCAGCCAAATCTGAACCGTTGAAAAGTTATAGCATTTTAAGTCCCCGTCTACAGAGAACAAAGAACGGACAGACAAAAATAAAACAAATCTTTTTTTCGACCCAGAGATGATCTCTGTTCCCTATTAACATCCGTTGCCGAGATGTAAGTTTCCAAGCGCGTATACTTTCAAAAAATTCCATTTCATCGATTTTTCGAAAATAATAAAGTAACAAATGTCATAATTCCACCGATAGATTCTGTGCGTGTTACTGCTACGCCTAGTGCACATGATTTTAAAACGCAAATTTATATTTTTCCCACATAAATACATAAGACATCGCAAAATCTGGCAACAGTGTGTTTATATCCTATTATATCCCCTTTCAAACATTGTTTGCAATATCTCAATGTCAACATTTGATTTTGATTTTGATAAAGACACGGTGTTGTCGACACAATTGTCATGTCATAATATATAATTTCGTGAAAATCAAAACTTTTAGTTCTTATTTATTTTGATAAATGGATTTTCATCAAGTAAAAGCCACCTCAGTTCAATCCCAAGTACTTTTGAAACCTACTTATTGGAAAATGTTTTTACTTCATTTCGTAGCGTTGGGTCTGTCATTGGACTCTGCCGAATTGAGCAAAGATCAGAAATCGTTGAGCCGCGACTCCGGTCTGACACTTTCGGAAGACGACAGAGAGAGTCCCGGTCTCAATTATAACACCGCCTCCTTCCACCGGTCAGATTGGGCCAGACAAGCTGCTCGCATACGTTCATTGGACAACACAAGCTCGTGGATAGAAGAAGACGAAGCGTTCTGCGCGTCTAGCGAGAGTTTGTGCTCGCCTCCTATTCCGCCGAGGAGACCTCCGCCCCTGAGGCATCTGCCTCCCGTGCATTTGCCGCCGGTGTATAGGCCGCCGCCACCTCCACCCCCGACTTACGCGACGGCGAGGATACTACTGGTTACAGATGCGGAAAGCGAGAGTTACGTGTGAACATTATTTTGTATGACGGAACTATATAGGAAAGGAAATTAATTAGTTGAGTTGCGAAGAACTTATCCGAAGAGGATCTCAACCCTAAGGGTAGATATATGACGGTGTTTAGCATCGGTTCGAGATCACCTCTGCAAACCTATAATTATTGTGTTTTGTTTGACAAATATTTGAAGATGGTCTTTCGTTCTCGAATTCTTATATATCGTGCATAACAGAGTTGTAGTAGTTCATTTGTACCCAACAAAATTAGCAACTAAATATAACCAACATTGATTTTTTAGACCATTATGACATGGAGCGAAAATTCATTTATTGTTGAACATGTTTCATCTGCCATTTTGTACAAATTGTATGTTCATTATTAACAGATTTAGTTAGTTATATGCTTTAATTACATAAAAACCAGATGCCGCGCGATTCGTTTTGGTTTTGTACGTTTTTAATAAAATTTATTTCATGTACAGTATTGAAGTTCCAAATATTTTGGATGTATATTTTTTGTAAATATGTGTATTGTAGATAGTGTTTGTGAGAAACGTCACGGAATATATTTGTTTGTCGACTGGTACCAGACCAATAGACGAATTCGTAAACTTATAAATTTTGCCATGTTCTAGAGTTTATTGTTTAGTTAAGTCATAAAATTTTGTAAGTTTATATAGATTTCTTTTTGTAAAAAAGTGTGTTCTTTAAAATAAAAATATATATATTTGAGAAAAGTTTAATTAATTACAACCCTCTAGTAAAGCGGACAGGTATGCAAATCGATAAGTTCCATTATTAAGTTTAAATAGAAAAACATTGTAGATATGAGTGAACATCACATAGAAATAATACTGCGTACACATCTAAAACCTACTATAAAAATTCTAAAAAAAAAATAATACAAAAATTGTCAGCAAAATTACCAAGGTTGAGATTCACATTTACGAAAATACATAAAAGTCAATTAATAAAGCCTACTGACTATAGAAACGGAGAAGAATAAACAACAATTATTATTAAAAATTATTGCTACCAGACAATACAATTGTTCGCAGAAATGGTTTTGGTTAATTACATCAGTACTTCTTACTAATAATACTATATTGCAATGCTCTAACTGAGAGCTCTAGGAGTTTTAACCACTTTAAATGGTATGAGATTCAGTTTTACAATTTTGAGAAATTATTAAAACGGCCATTAAAACTGATTATGGAAGACAAACGCCCGGCATTGAAAACAACTGGGAATATTTAGAAACTATTACATCGTCAAGTGAATTAGTCAAAGATTGTGTGTAAAGGCTTGTACAATCAACATTTAAATTATATAAAAATAACTAATCTTCAACTTTGCGGAGTCTAATGAATGGTTCAAGGATCTGACAAAAATTGATTTCCTAGAACCACAAAATTAATAAATTAAGGCAAGAAAATGTGTTACATATATCATAAAAATAATAATTCGATTTTATTTCATGTTCAAATGCAAACATAAATAATTACATTAATAAAAAGAAGCGCGTATGTATTTCTTTTGTTCCAAATACTGTTTTTTTTTATCACAATATACCGATTGAGAGCTGATATGCAAATGTGCCATTAACTAAAACTCCATAGTTTGAATATGCTCGCGAATATGTAACTCATACTTAACTACAGAACTGTGATATTATTGATATTATTTTACTCTATGCTTGCTTTCGAAGCAAATGAGGTGAGTGATGAAATTTCATTGGGCGAACTATCTGTAGGTAATCGGCTAAACTCTACTTCTTCCCCATCGGCGGATATGGGATCATTAGGCCACTGCTTGTGGCTAGGAGCATACAAAATAAGCATTGCACATATGTAAATATTCCACATACCATAAACACCCGTATGAAGTATGGAGGACAGTTCCACGTCCGTGTTATCATCCCAGTTGTTCTGACTTTCCGCAATTTGGGACAAAATGAATGAGATTATGGTAACTGCAGCGCACACAAGAGTGGCGAGCATCAGAAAATGAAAGCGATAGATAATACCCTCATAATGAAGCCGACGAGCCTGAGACATTGTTGGAAGAATAGATCGTTTTACGCTGATATTCTTAAAAACACACCATACCATGTAACACAGGAAAATGAAATAAATACTGGCTGATAAACCAGCTAAAATTATGAATGTCAAAGCCAAATTTGTTCCCATAGGTGTCACCCATATTGAATAAAAGGGATTTACAAGCTGAGCACCTCTTTCACACAAATCGAATATTAACAAAGAAATACATCCAATAACAACAGTGCTTAAATGCTTCCAGTAGGTTTTCAGACTATTTTTCTCCCCAGTATCTTGAATAAGCATATGCTCTCCTGCAAATACAAGCCAGAATGACAGCAGCATTGCATAGAAGATGCCCTGACGAATATCACTAAGTAAAAGCATATAGGGCATGTCAAAATGCAGTGTTAAGTATTCTAAAGGCATATCCAAAAATGCTAATGTTGCACCTAAAGAAATGAGCATATACTCCAATAATGCTGGAGTTCGAGATAAGATGTGAACTCTATTCCAGAACCAAATCATAATAGTAACGATAATGGGGAAAAACACAGTTTTTATACTAAGCCAAACCCTTGTAAAACCTCCATTCATATAAATTATGTGGAGATGTATGTCCCCAACTTTGGGAAGCTGCACATTTGTCTTCAATAGTTGGTCATAGGGCAGCCTCAAATTTAACAAATAATAATCATGATGCAATGATCCTAGTTCAAAAAGAGGAACCATCGAACAACTATAAGGATAGCCATCTTTATTATGTGGTCCGGTATTATTGAAAGTGCAGTCCATATACCTTTTTACTACCGAACTTGTGTAATAAGTCCACAATGTCTGCCCGCTATTAGTTTTATCACTATATCCCAGACGCGCATCAAGTGTTAATTCGATCATTAAATTCTCCAACATCTGACCTTTTTTGTACAAAACATCAATCTGGAGAACTCCTATTAAATTTTGCTGCCAGCGAGAAAAATCCCGTCGAGGCATTGGCATTTGAGCGACGAATACCTGAAAGTAATGAAAGTTATAGATGGGCTTTCCTTCCTCTAATACACCTGAGTAAATTTACCAAATTTGTAGCACTTAGATTAGTGGTGGATTTTTCGTCTGACAATTCGACTTTATTGGGACAGTTACGAGTGAACCAACGGTTTATATTGTCGGTTTTTGGATCACTGTCCACACAAACTGTTGTCAAAATACTTGAAGTTGAGGCTGGACTGGGCGATATCAAACCAACTAGGAAACACATTAGTTGGCACAACAATAAAATCGTAACCAAAATGATCAACTTTCTTCCGCTTAAATTTTCGAGAATTGTCCCGGCCATTTTTGGGGAAAATTAAGAAAACCACACAAAATTGCACTATGTTTACATAAACACGGCTTGTAATAACAAAACGGTGGATAGTTCTTCTTCTTTTTTACTTTTGTGGCCGAGTGAGGCGGACGTGACGGATAATGTGAGAATACTTGTATTTCAATCGTTAATGCTTGGAGTTGGTAATACCTTCACCACAGAATACTAACGACGGTAACTTTTGAGAAGAGACAAATGCGCATACCCAAGTTCAAAAATCTTTTTTTAACCAATAAAAAGTCTTGCGACTTTCATTAATCAGCCTGTCCGGAGACATTTCTTCAATTTGACAGTTTTCACTTTGTGTGTTGCATTTTTTGACCAATATTTTATCATAATATGTCTTGTGTGGAGCTCTTTCTTTAGAAAGAAAATGTAGGTTAGTCTGTAAAATTTATAAGCATGCGCTGAAAATCATTCGCTTCTCCTCTAGAAAAATAGGTAACATTACCATCTGAAGGTCATCAAATTTTACCATTCTTACGCCTCTATATTATTCAATATCTTTAATAATAATAAGAGGAGCAATTTTTTTAAAATTGATCGTCCTATATTTCTTAATCTACCAATCATTTAAGAGACATTGGGCTCAATCATAATATTTTCATCATATTTTTTGTTGCATGTCTGATGTCTGATTACTAATCAAAAACACTGAATAACAAAGGGTTTGTTGGGTCAGGGTGAAGATATAAATACTGTGTTTTATGTAAAATTGGGACCGAAAGACATACTATTCAAGACAATTAATTACCTTATATTGAATGCACAATAGTATCACTTTTCATCGAGGTTACAAATGAATTAACGTTATGGTAAGTCACTATGATCGGTTTCTAACAGTACAATGTTTTGAGTCGGACAATAGATTCAAATGTAGGCACAGGCGTGTATTATGTAATATACATAATCTCTTCTCTCTTAGCGTCATAAAAAAAGTTAAATATAACTATTTGATATAAACAAACCTCCAATTACACATACTACATACAATCACAATAATACTTTAATTTTGAGTCCTCAAAACCAACACTCGATGTTCTCGTCGCCAAAAATTGGAGAGAACACATTTAGTTACCTAACTTACATACTATGTAGCCATTATAAAAGTATTACAATTTGTACTTTCTGAACACTTAAGATTAATAATACCATGGTTTTCAGTCACTCCATGACCCACCTGGAGTTCCCGGACTATCTAGATTACTGGACGAACTGCCAATACTCTCGCAAGCTTCCATAAATAAGTCAGGGTTTACCATTTCCATGACTCTCCATGCCAAACTTTTACCTATGAAGAAAGTTGAGTTTAAAGTCCCCTTAACCAAAAATATAAAGCCTAACTAACCTATATGGACGTTGCCCTTGATTTCTTCGGAATCCTCGCAGTAATGTAATGCTGCTTTTCTCAAATTCTCACACCTACACTGATCTGCCAGCAGTAGAATATTAGCCACATTCGTAGGTGTCAGGCTTTCTATGAGGTGACGTTCGCAGAGCCCTTTTAGTCCGGGAAGGCTGTACCTGGTACTCAGTGGCAGTAGTTTTACAGCATACTTATCAACACTATCTACTTTGTCTGTGTAAATGTACCGTACCAATTCATTAATAGCACCGTAAGAATATTCTGGGAGGGACAGGACGTACTTAATATTCTAAAATTGATAATTGACGCATCAGTTTTTTCGACCTTGAAGTGATGATAATTAATACTTACCCTATTCTTTTCGTCTATGTTAGACTCCAGCATTTTTGAAAGTTTTTCACTTCTAGTTCTTATGATCCAACTGTGCGCCTTCAGCGATTTGTTTACACTTTCTTTATCACAGTAGCAGTCAATCAAAGTATCTTTACTTTGGTCGCTTAGCATGAGTCGAGCCATGTCCTGAGACAAACTGTGGACCTCTTCATCGCTGTGAATCACCTGGATTTTTACCATTATTTGGACATCTTTTTCTGTGGAAAAAAATGTCCGTTGATTTTTTTTTTTCGATTTGAACAATCAACCTGTCCCAAAAAAAATGTCAACCCCGGAACAGCAAAACTAAGCTCAACTATTCCGGATAACACCTTCAGGAACGCGAATTGACAAATCGAGTTATCGGGCACGCCTTGGAAGAGAAGGAACGCTTAAAGCAACTTCAAAACACCAACCTAATAAAAAAAAAAGTGATCCCCATGGTAGGACGAAATTCCATAGAAGAATTCGCATAAAGAGAGACATTTGATTAAAAATCGCGACTCAATCTTTATTCATCCCGTATAGGAACCATATGAACCTCCCGATTGGAATAATGCCGCAATAAACAGGGAATTGTGGTTTCCTTGTCAGAGTTCTTCAAAATAAGAATGTCCAACGTGAGCTGTGTCTTTCGCAACGCTGCTGTGCCGATCCATGCGCTGACCGTAGCGTCCTAGAGGTGGTCATATGGAAAAATTACAAAGGGCTATCCATGCTGAAAGAAAATAATTGAAAGAAAATTAATTTTTTTGCATCTACTAATAAGTTGAGCTTAGTTTTACACCAGAGCTACAGGTCAGGTAATATTTAAACTGGACACAGAGGAACTTTTTTGCGATTTATATGTATTTTCCATGTTCTCGCTAGCTAAATGACTAAACGCGTTGGACACCATTTGAAAGTTTAGCAAATCTGTGTGCAGAACAAACATTTGAAACTACTTGAACAGTGATTAAAACACTTTCTATATTATTACCTGGATCTATGTGTCGGTCCAAAATGCCTAAACTCTTGTAGCCTACCGAGAGAAGGTCATGCGTGTTTTGGAGGTTCAGAACCACACTGGATATGGGACAACATTCCCAGTGTTTAATTTGTGCGTCCCATACTCCAAATTGGAATCGAATACGAGCCTGTCCGGTCTCCTCTGTTTCACACCCCGTGAGATTCAGACAAACGACCAGCGGATTGGTTACTTTCTTGCCATTCGATCCTGCAATCGAAATCACTCGTTGCTGTGGTATTTAGAAGACCTATTTTTAAATTAGAACACTTGCGATCTATTTTTGTAGCCATTAAAATAACTTAATTATTTGCCGTTCGTATTTTTTAATTAGTTACCAAGAAAAACTAATTAGATCTGAATGTCAGTAGTTAAGCTTCAACCTGGTCAAAAGTATATATTATATTTATTTATTTATTGTTTTTTCTAAATCATATATATTTTGTATTGCAATTTTTGATAATTAGATAATACATGTCTTTATTTGTTGGTGCCAGAAAGAACTTTGTAAAAAACTAGATATGCTGTTCATAATTTGAAACACACCTTTCCAAAATCGGACCGAAATGTTCCAAAACGTAGAGACACTGTTCACCGAACACCTAAACACAGGGCTATCCAGTAGGTCCCGCTTGCTAATCGTCTTGTGGAATTTTTTTATCTTCCATATTTTCCTAAAAACCAATTCGGACGCCACTGGCACTTCGAGCTCTTCGTGTATGGACCCCACTTCTACGTCGAGGGGTTCCTTGGAGGAACTCTTGTGTTTTGATTTGGTCTTAGGTTTGGTTGGCATTATATTAATTCTGCGAACAAAAGAGATTACGTTGTTAAGGCTCCATGCCACACTGTAATTCACACTGTGGAATTACCCACACGATAGAAAAGAACAATAAATAAAGAATTTTCACGAAAAGTCCAAAATACACTAGAGCAAGGGCATTTTTGATACCAGCAGATTAGAGGAAACTCAATTATATACATACAGTTTCACCATATTGTTAAATGGCGACACCTTGGGTGTTGTAGTTTTCCGATAATCACTAAAACCGTTTAACTGAAGACTTTAATTTATAAGTTCTATAATATGTTATTTTTTACACGCACATTCCAACCGCAAAGAGAGAACTTATGTGTGCCCGCGTTTAAATCTCAAATGTGCGAACTTTCGTTTTGATTTTTTATTTATACTCGCGTTAAAAATAGACTTTGGATCGGATGCTATTTATAAAAGCCGAATTCTAAGAAGAGACGAGACCACTTCCAGATGATATTCGTTTCTTGTTAGTGGACGAGGCGAGCATTTCGCGAGAGCGTGAACTCATTTGGTTTTCCTATTAGCGTATGTTATATCGGGATTGGCTTTATTTTGATATTCGGAAGTTTCTTTGTTGGTACTATCGAAATCAACGTGTGTGTCCAGATTAGCTTAACCTTAAGAAGTTTATTTTTAATGCGGCTTGTGAAATAGGAAAGAGAACAGGATATTTCAAAGTTAATATTGCAGACTATTTTATTATTGCTACAGGCAATTCGATTTTTATGCATCAATGTACATCACACTGTTAAAAAAATGATCTTGGATGTCTCGCTAGCAATAGAAACTAGAGAGTTTTTAAGTTACCAAATTTTCTAGAACCCTTGCATTCTGTTTCTCCCAATAGCAATTACCCAAAGACACTTTACATTTTCGGGTTAACAGTTTAATAGAGGGTATTAACTGTTTGGGGTCGAAGCTGAATGATAAAACTTAACTGCAGATGAACAAACCAATATTTAAAAAAAATGAAATAATTGACAAATTATTTTTTTGATATTTTCATTACAAATTAGCTTTACATTAAAGCTACTGCATACTTTTTAAAATAAACCGAAACGAATTATATATAATAATATATATAATATATAAATATAATTATTTTGAACTGCAGCGTTAAATAGTAAAAAACGTATAAAAAAGTTCAATATAAGAGGTATGGTCTGTTCATAGATATATGAAAGTGATCAATTGCTTTTGAATGGGATTATCCAAGGGGGGTCATTAACATACAATACAACAAGATTATTACCTAAAGTTTCGGAATTTAAATTCGGGTAAAATTGTGGTCCGTAATAGAAAATAATTTTATACCTACCTGTGTTTAATATTCTTTGGTTTGGTATACTACTTAGTTTAAGTTTATTAGTAATCATTCTTATTTCGTGTGTAATACAGCGTGTGTTGAATCGTGTGGGAATTATGCAAAATATGTGCGAGTCTAGTGTATCTCAGGAGATACTCCCCCAAATGTTGAAAATACTATTCTACAGAGACTAAGGAAGTTATAAACAATGTTTATTTAACTCTCATTGAACGTGGTGCCAACAAGCAAGCATCATTAAAAAAAAATCCAACATCAACTGTATAGAAAATTGTGAATAATCCCATTTCAGCGAGGAAAAAAAGAAGCGATGCTGACATTTTTTCGAGTGTAGATGAAAGTGGTCAAGATATAATACGGCGTAAAATTTACCAGTTATACGAGGAACAAAGCGTGCCTACATTAGATATCTTAATTAGGAGGCTTGAAAAAGATGAAACCCGTGTGAAATGTGGCAGGAACTACCTTATGGAAGTGTATTCAACACATGGGTTTTAGATTAAAAAAAATGACAAAAGACAAGTTTTAATGGAATCTTTTAGAATTCGGAAATGGCGACTGGAATATCTAGAAAAAATTAGGATTTACAGAGGACAACAAAGGCCAATTATTTACTTGGATGAAACCTGGTTTTAGATTTAAACCCCGGGAAAGGGTTGGGTTGACTCAACTCATAAGTGTAAAACAAACGCGCAATGCAAGTTATCACAGTAGACAGTTGACTAAAACCCCTTCCTCATGTGACACAAAAGCAGCAATTCAAAACTACATGTATAATAACGCCATTTATTTTCACGAAGATTATACCAAAAAGCAATTAATTGAGGTTCTACAAAGCTGTGATAATTATGCAAAAAATCTAGGGCATACAGTTTTAAGGCTTCCACTGTATATTTAATCCCATTGAACATGTTTGGCACCAACTGAAATCTGCCATTCGTCGTAACAATGTTTTTCACCGTGTTAACTCCTATGTCCTCAAACTTATAGAAACTGAAGTTTTTAACATCCCTCCACAAAGCTGGGCAAATTACACATATAGAATAAGCAGAACAATCGTATAACCGTATTACAAATAATATGGAAGAAATAATAATTAGAACAGGCAATGATAGCGGTAGTGATACTGATATATTATGTGAATAATTTTAAGTAATTTAAGTAGGTAATAAAAATAATATAATAATAAATAAATATTGTTTAGTATCTTTCCTAACAAAACCCCAAATAATTAGTGTCTGAGCAAAGTACGGACCTGTTCGGCCATATTTCATTCTTACAGTTTGTCCGGGTCTTTCCTTAATTCGTATCAGTTAGGCACTTTCTTATATCTATGAACAGACTTTATAGTCTGTCTCAATCTTCATCGTGCTGGTACCCGCCGACGGCAATAAAACTAGAGATGGACTCTCAAAGGTTTTGGTATTTTTTTGTTTTGTTTTAGGTGGGTATATCCTTATTAAATTACACCAAGAAAAACAATAGGATTTATGTTGTTTTCTATAGAAATGTAGGAGTATGCTCAGCCTGTTCATCCAAATTATCGCATGCATACATGAATTTAGGACTTGCAAAAGTTGTGCTTTTTTGTAACTGAATTCAAAATAAATATAATTTTCCCACATATATTCATGGATTTCAGTTTTTGAACTCGACGAGGCTGGTGCTTTGCGTAGCAGGCGGCTGTGGTAAATTGTCCATGACATCCATGACAATAATACTGTCATTGGGAATATTTCTTAAAAGTTTCTTTTGAAACCAATCCAAGCTAAAATTCTTCATATTTTTTGCAGACAACACCAAGCAGCCAGGGACAAATGCGTCTTCGAACCCAGCGTGTCGTGTAGGAAGAACTTCGCTTTGATAAAGACAACATATTTCCCTTTTTATTAGATCCTGATCACTATTTTCTTCAATTCTCCACTATTTATAATATCTACGAAATTGGCGTTTTTGTAGGTAGACAGGTTTCTTTTAAAACTTCTTGTTGAATAAATCCTTTATTGATTAAAGTTTTTTACTTCACTCACGGCTTTGTCCACCCAAATAACCAACAATATGTACAGTAAAAGATTTGTTTTTAATTGTTGCTATTAATGCTTCGCAAAATACTACACATACCGGCGAAAAAAACAAGCGCATAGTCGTAAATATAAAATGTCCCGTATACATTGTTAAAATAAACACGATCCTAATAAATGTGTTTTTTTGCGAATTCGAACGGTTTGTTTTCGTAATTAGGACGAGATTAATTTGCTAAATTAATATTTGAGTTGGCGAGGTAGGTAAACATCGCCCGAATTGTGGCTAATACTTTGATCAAACATTTCGCTTTAACGTGCAAATACTTCATTTGCACGGAATTCGGATACGCGCAATTAACTTATTTAATTTAATCCGTGACGCGACACATACCCGGTGGTGTCCTAATAAGAGTAACGTATTAGGGAAACGTACGGTCACCACTCTTAGTTAGTCAAATCGGCACCTAGGTATCACATTTTCTGATAGTCAAGTTTAATTCGCACAAAACAGTATTTTTACGATGATATCAAATGCATTAAAACACCGCTCATAAGTATATGTACGTCTTAAATATTGATCTAACTTACAACAAATCTCCTGTGATCTTGTATATACCGGGTGTGTCAATGGTATTATGAATTTTTTTTTTTTTTGAAAAATCGGCCAAGAGAAAATGCTGGAAATTATTTTCGAGACTTTTTTTAGAAAGTGGAAACCGAATCTCAGTATCTCTGTCCTAACCTAAAATATGAATAAGAGAACTTAACCCCCAAAAAAAAAAATTTTGCTACGAGTTTTATTATTTATGTTATTATACATATTTATTACTTTTTGTTTGCAATAACTGCTAAATTACCCCATACCTGATATTAACATGTACTTTTTGATATGCTTGGTCGTCTTTAAATTTTTAAATAATAAGTTTTAATCACTAATCAATTGTTAGCGACTAACTAATTTTATTAAAAATTGACGTATTTAAGTAGTAAAATGAGTAAAGCCATGTAAAAGAACAAAAACATCTCTTTTGACACAAATAATCCATTGCCAATTATCAAGATTGCCATGGAAGCAAATTTGGTTTTTATCTGACTAAAGGAAACGTTTCATTCATTCATGTTTTTTTAAGTTCTGTTAATCATGAAGGTTGGGGAAAAAATATTAAGATGCGATTTCACTTATTTGACTTTCTAATGACATAAAAAAAGTCATTTCGTTATATTTATTGTTTTCTAGAAAATTTTCACCTGGTGGCAAGGTAAGCAATTACAATCGCGTCACACATGATAACAATGAAAATTTAGGACGGTTTAGGAAAAGCCCTTTTATTTAACAAAATGTTTGAATACCCTGCTACTTTCTATGGACAGACAGAGCACACAAGAAAGATCTGATTTTGTCACAGCTTGGAAACAGTAACATTTTAACAGTGAAACCTAGTTTTAAAATCCGAGACAACAATTACGGCTCTGGTTACCATTTCAGAAACTCAAAAATAATTTCCAGCACTTTCTTTCTCTTGGCCGATTTGCTATTTTTTTTTTAAATTTCTAGGACATTTCATCTTCATAATACCATTGATTTTTTGCGAATTGAAATTTGATATCAGAAAATGTGATATCTAGGTACCCATTTGAATA